GTCATGGGATATTATTTTGATATCGGGGGGCCCCCAGAAGCAAACACATCGGGTTAAGTTATAAACAGAAGAAATGCCAAAGGAAAGGTGGCCTCACCCCTGGCCATTGAGCGTTTCCTTTTCTTCTCAGCCAGGGATGGGCCCAGGACCCTCCTCCCACCCCGGTGCTTTCAGGGGGATCCCTCTGAGGCCGCACCAAAGCCAGTTCCCAAGATAACATTGGCCGGTGGCGCCGGGCCAGGAAAATTAAACATCACGGTTGCTAACGAAAGGAAACGTCCGGGCCATCCCCCAGCCTCCGCTGCCTCTGACAGAGGGAGTGCCGGCCCACTCGGGGTGAATGATGACACAGCCCGAGTGACATGTTGAGGAAACTGCCTGAGGACTGCCTGCACCGGGCCCTGACCGGCCCGGTTGGGTCTTCCACCCCTCCGGCCTCGAGATGGGGACCAGGATTGGGACTGAGTGACTGGACGAGAGACCGAAGTGACTGCTCATCTCTTGTTTTCTTCTCCTGTCTTCTTGCCTTCTTGCCTTTTCTCTGTCAGGGCAGACTGTAGCTGTGACCAGACACAGCCGCCTGACCCTGAACGGGCAGGAGCAATTCTGCCGGATAAACACGGGCACAGATGGACAGCTCCACATGCCGGGGCCAGAGCCAGGGAGCAGGGGCCATAGCGGATGTGGCTGGCCTGGCTGCACGTGGGGTGCAGGTCTGGGCTTCTTGGCCCCCGGCGGACCCGTAGCTCCCCTGGCTGGCACCGCCAGGCCTGTGTGCTGTGTGGCCACTTACCATGCATCACCCTGACCTATGAAGTCCTGTCTATGTCTTCTGCTGCACAAACCCCACCCCCACCCCCTGCAACACTGAGCTAGTGCGCGCACCTCCCTCCCGAGTCCCTGCCCATTTAGCACGCATGTCTCTGGGTCTCCCACTTGGCTGGACAGAGGCAGGGTCTCACCTGCCTTTGCCCGTTTGAGGCTCTTTTCATAGTAAGTACCCAGTAAATCCCGTTGGCCCCTAGATGGTTTTAACATACATTTCTATTCATCTGTCCTCTAACACGTTCTGTTCATGCTGCCAGGGCTGGCCACACACGACCTGTCTGGAATAGGCAAGAAGGCCTGCCTAACTGCAGCAGAACTTGGGAGTACATACCAAAGGAGAGGCCACCTTGGAGGTTCAGAGAACATACAATGGGGAGCATTTTGTTTAGTTAGACAACTGGGCTCATGTCCCAGCTCTAGCACTGAGAGCTGTGTGACCTTGGGGAATATGCCTCACCTCTCTGTGTTGTAGTTTTCTCGTCTGTAAAATAGGGATAGTATTACCAACATCACAGGGTTGCCATCCAGCTGAATGGATGTAGAGGACTGGGATATGGGTGTGCATACACACACACACACAGACACACACAGACACACAGACACACACACACACACACACACACACACACACACACACACACAGTAGTTATTACTGTCATATTAGTCCCAGTTGGAGCTATGGTGCTGTGTTAGATCTCAGATGCAGGAGGCGGAGGAAATTGTCTGGATTATTGAGGGCAGAGCCCAGCTGCCGAGGGCAAGGGCTGCTCCTCAGGAACAGGGAGTGGGGGGGTGGCTGTTGTCTATCTAGTGCCACCACCAGATTGCAGGGCTGCACAGCCCCTAGCTTACAGAATAATTTCATTTTTGGTAAATTTCACTAACTGCAACGGCTCTTTTGAATGGAGGCATCTGTGCATTTCAAGTTTTCCTTGCAGTTACACCAAGTTTTCTTTCAAGTAATGAGCTGTTTTCTTTTTCCCCTGTAAACATGAGGCTGACATCAGAGAACAATTTTTGATCCTGGTTTTAAAAACTAACTGGGTGGTTTAGACATGATGGGAATCCCAGGCAGTTGGCTGGCTCTCTTTTCTGTTTCACTGAAAAGCATTTCTTCAATGAGCCCACATCTCAGGGGCGAGACGCACTTTGGATTAGTGAAAGTTTAGAAACATTTAGGTGATTATGGTAAATAATTCACGCAAATCCCGACAACTGCAACTTATTCTTTTGTGTGTGCTGGAGGAAGAGCCTAAGCTGGCTCCCTTTCCTGCATTTGCTTCCCAGTCCTCTTAGCGCCATCTAGTGGAGGCCCCTTGCTAAATAATAGGATTTGCTCCTGTGGTCCCTTCTTCAAAGTTGAGGAAATGCAATTCACCTAGAGGCCTTTTAACCCTCGGTTCCTTTTGTGTTTCAGTCTCCAAGTTAGAAACACCACCACGGTGGGGGTACCTGGGTGCCTCAGTTGGTTAAACGTCTCTGCTGTCAGCACAGAGCCCACTTGGGAGCCTCCGTCTTCCTCCTCTCTCTCTGCCCTTCTCCAGCTCGCTTTCTCTCTCTCTCTCAAAAATAAGCATTAAAAAAAAAACATCACCATGGTTAACTGGATTTCCTTTTGTTGCTGATAAGAGTGAGCCATCAGGGGCCCTGCACTGTAGTTGTCAGCATCTCTGCATCTGAGTCTGGTGGTGACTTACTAGTCGTGTGATCACTAGGAAGTTACTTAACTTCTCCCAGCCTCAGTGTTCTCAGCTGCAAAATGCCTTTGAAAACAGAAAGGGCCCATCGAATTATCCCTGAGGCACAATGAAATTATGCCCCTGAGGGGCTCAAGACAGTGACTGGCACACAGCAAATGATCACCATCCCCAGCTAACAATAGCACGGTTTCTTTCTCGTTATCCTGCATGCTGAGGATTCTACCTATAGACAAAATGCTCTTGGGTGAATGACTGCACCGTGTGGTTTGTCCGAGCAAACACTTTGAAGATACTACTTTTGACCTGATGACATTTTAAGATGCGTCTTGAAAAGACCACAATAAAGTTTTTCTTTCTTTCTCTCTCTTTCTTTCTTTCTTTCTTTCTTTCTTTCTTTCTTTCTATCAAATTCTAATCAAGAAGTAGGAACTGTAGACTCAGTAGAGATCTTGGGGAAGAAAAGTAAAAGTATTAACACCATACCTTTATGAGAAACTTGGAAAAAACTGTCTTTCAGGTTTGAGTTAGAAGCAGTTGCCTTTTCATTGAAAAGCATGGTTGTGTGATGGCTTGGGACTTCTATTTTGATTTCATTAGGCACAGTTGGGAAAGGAAAACTGATCCTTTATGTTCATCTCTGATATGTGTGTGCTGCATATTTTCTCCTGGTTAAAGTCTGTTCTAGAAGCAGGCCTATTTCTTTTTAGAGAGAAACGGTCTTCTGTGCATTTTAGGCAAATGTACCTTCTGAAGCAAAGAGTGTCTGTGTTTTGCTGAATTTAGGTAACACAAGGTTTAGCCACTGTCGTCCAGCTGGGATCTCCGTAAATACAGCTGACCCTTGAACAAGATGTGTTTGAACTGCACAGGTCCACTTACGTGAGGATTTTTTTTTTTTTTTTGATAAATGCAGTATAACACGGTGTATGTATTTTGTCTTCCTTCCGTTTTTCTTAACATTTTCTTTTCTCCAGCTTTCTTTATTGTAGCAATACAGCCTACAATGCACGTAACATACAAAATAGGTTAATCGGCTATGTTATTAGCAAGGCTTCCAGTCAGCAGTAGGCTATTGGTAGGTAAGTGTTGGGGGAGTCAAAATTAGACTTGGACTTTCAACTGGGCGTGAGTTGGTGCCCCGAACCCCCACCTCGTTCAAGGGTCAGCTGTAATCTGCATCACTAAACACCCACAGCTGTGAGAAAGCATGTCAAAGCTGGGAGCACATCTCAGGGACCTTGGGAGTGGCACCTTGCCCTTGGAAAGTTTTTGGCCGCAGGGACCCTGTCCTACAGGAACAAGAGGCCCGACCCAGCTCCGGCAGAAGTCTCCAGGCTTCGCCAGCTCCATGTGGCAAGCGGCCCAGAGACACTGGGCCCGTCCATGAACCAGAGAGACTGTCAGGAGGGGGCAGATGGGAGGAGAGATCTGGGCTCAAGTACCAGTCTGCCACTTACCACCCCCATGGCTTTCAGTATACCTGCTTCCTCACCTGTGAAATGGGGAGAACGCCCTTGCCCGAGTGTCACAAGGATGGAAGGAGAGACTTTAAATGAGCTCCCCCTACCAGTCATTAGGGCCTGAGGATGCTCCTGTGTCCAGGCAGCGGTGGCCCTGTGGTGGCTCTGGGGACAGCTGCTCTCGTCCCCCATCCTGTGACAGGAGAAGTCCACCTAGGGCTCAAGGGCACAGTAACTTGAAACAAGCCAGTCACCACAGCAATTTAACATTTTACTAAATCGATTCACACAAATTCCAAATCGCAAATATAATTAAGGACAACAGATTCTGTTCTGCCTTTTAAATCTTTCATTTTCAAATCCATCATTAAGACAAAAAGTAAACAAAAATGAAGTCTGCTGCAAATTCATGATCTTTCTTCTTGAGGAAAAAAAAGGAACATTAGAGTAAAAAGAACGCCACTGGGTGTACAATAAAGCACCACAACACACGGTTACAAAACAGGCTTCCTGGATTCGGCCACACGTAGAAGACAATGCTCTCCCCGCTGTTCTGCGTCAAGCAGGATTTCATTAAAATAAACTATAAAATCTCCTAGGTTACACTAAAGTCAGACACGGTCTGGAACACAGTGCTTAACAACAGTAATGCCAACTATCAGTGCTAACGTAAAAACATTTTAGAAGGTCAAAAACAATTAAACTGGAAACCAAAACCTTATCTTCCCTAGATGAGCAAAACTGGAAATGAAAGGGTTCCGCCTCCCAACAGGCGTGAAGGGGATTTTTCTTTCTTTCTTTCAGATCGGAGGCGGGGGCGCGGCGCAGGCTGCCTCTGTACTTCAGCCTAGTTGGCGTCCAGCTTGGCCATTTCCTGTACGTAGATGCCTATACTCTCGCTGTCAAAAAGCACGAAATACACCGTTTTGATGGAAGAGGACATCGTTGACACGAAGTAACTGGAGATGGCCTTCAGAATCAGCTGAGCTGCCGTCTGCTTTGGAAAGCCATTCCTGCAGGAGAGAAGGGGGCTCAGCAACCAGGGGCCGCCGTGGCCATGGGCCTGCCGCCCTGCCGCCCTCCCTCCCGGAGGCCCCCAGGGCTGGGTGCTGTGCTTCGCCTCGAGGGGCCTCAGTGCCTGCGAGGGCTGCTCACACACAGGGGAAGGGCCAAGCAACAAGCACATACGCACGACTTGTGTCTCCTGCGTGGAGTCTCCCAGGGGTAGTGTGAGTTCCCACATTTCTGTTCCCAGTGTTACTGTGACTAGGACGGGGCTTGACGCCACCCCTCCCCCATGGGACAGCTGGAGGCTGGAGCTTCTACAGGAGGGGACTGTTGTTCACACACATAGGGGCGTTAGAGCCTTCATGTGGGCCTTAGACTCGACAGGTGCTGGGGCTGCTGGCCTGGAGTGCATCCCAGGACCCACCAGCTTGCTATCACCCATAGGCCAGGCCATGGGGGGCTGGGAGTGCAGGGGACGACTCCTGGCCGAGGGGGCTCTTTATCTCAAGAAATGGCATTCAAATTTCCCCGCCAGACGGCTGTGAATTCACATATTTCCACTTAAGGTAAAAGTCAGGTGGGAATTTTGGAGGTAGGGCTCAGACTCGGGCAGAATCTGAAATGAGGCCTAGAGAGACTGTAGTCTCTTGCTCTACATGTGCCTGGGGCTGTTCCTGGTCAACACCGCAGGTGCAGGACCCAGGAAACCCGGGACAGTGGCAGGAACATAGTGGCTTGCCTAGGCTGGCAGAAAGGATGTGGGTTTTGAGCCAGTGGTCTGGATTCAGATCCCTTACTGACCCCCTGGGTACAGTTAAGGATCCTCAGGTGAGAGTCTGAGGCCAGGTTTCATGGGGATTTCTTTTTTCATTGGCAGATCTGCAGTCTTCCAGAGCCCCCAGCCTGTGGACCATTGTATCCAAAGTGCTGGGCCAGCCTGCCAGCTTAGGCCACACCCCTCCTTCAGATGGGGTGCCTGCTGCCAGGTGAGAGGTTTTCAAATGCATAAGGTGGAGGCTTTCTTAGAACATTCTGAGCCTTGCTTGCTAAGTGCCTCTGAGTTTTGAACTACCTTAGCTTATTCCTCTGGAGAGCCACACTTACTCTCCAGTTGTCAGTACTAAGCACATCTCAGGGCCACAGGGCAAAACCATTCTAGTGACTTGGTTTTCATCCAACGGGGCTTCGCCCAGCTGGAAGATGGATCCCTCGTACTTGTAGATGCTTTGGAAGTGAAGCTCATTCTTAGCAGACAGGGGGTGTCACCCGGGGCACGTTCCCAGCCTGTGCCGAGGGGCCTCTGGGCAACAGTGGGGTGTGAGGCTCGTCCTCAGCCACACGGCGCCCACAAGGCAGCCAGCCAGCACAGGACTGCCCGGGAGGAGCGGGATTCAGAGGCCGAAGGAAGAGCTGCACAAGTGTACCAGCTGCAGGAAGGGGGTGTCAGGCCCAGACTCCCCTGGAGCAGATCCTGGGTGCTCTACCAGCAGCACAGGAAGGGTGCCCAGCAGGTGGGGCAGGACGGAGGGTGGTGGGGACCATGCCGAATGAAAGGTTTCGCTGGAAGGGGGGAGAATGTGGGACCCACAAAGCAAGTTATTCCCCTTCCCCCCATCCACTCTCAGATCTGCAAGCTCATTCTGGGAAGCAGCTGTTCTCATCACCCCTGACAGAGTTGCCCTGAGCATTTTCACAGGATAGGTTGTCTGGTAAAAGGCACGTGTTGGCAAGTATTTGAAGACAGGAACTCAACTTCCCATTTTAGGGGCACGTTCCTAGGGGCACGTGTATACATGAGTGTTGTGGGGGGTCCGCCTCACACCCGCTGTGGGTGCCTGAGCGTGTACAGGCTGCCCTTCACCCAGCCCCAGTCCTGAGGGTGAGACCAGGGCCAGCTTTGGGGGAGGGCTATGCCGTTACAGGGTCACGGGGGTCACTGGAATAAGGGACCCTTTAAAGTGTCTCACAAAGAGCCAATATTTACTTTCCCACTGTAAACTCAGATTACGGCCTCTAACTTCATCCCTGGCGAGAAAAGCCAGTGGCCAGATCTGCAGGAGTTCCGGAAGTGCCTGGAAGCCGAGGCAGGACAGGGAGCCTGGCCCACCCTCCCGAGCAGCCTGTGTCAAGATCAGGGAGGGCTTATTCAGATGCAGGTTGCTGGGCTCTGTCCAGGGAATCGGAGTGGGCAGGTCGAGGGCACACCCTTTGAGAACCACTGTTCTGTATGGAGCCAGCAAGGAGGTTTTAATCTGAGCTCACAGGGTGGGCCCCAAGGTTAAGAACCTAGAAGTGAGGGAGAGAAGGTGGGGATCGAAGGCTCTAGGCCCGTAGTATCAGTATCTGTCAGCCCTACTGTTAATGGAGCACGGGCTGGTCTCTTTCAAGGTTGTTGGGTACAAGTGAATTTGACTTCTTTCCAGGAGAACCTCTTATTGACAAACCCATCCCTCTGTCCTAGGCAACCACAGCCTAAAGAAAAAATGCAGCCAAGGGACCGTAGCTGTTCTGGACCACGCAGGCCGCCAGGAAGGAGTGGGGAAGGTGATTCCTTTCTTTATGTTTTCAGGGCTCCAGAATGTTTTCTCATGGCCATAGTGAGCGGTGCCTGTAGCAAAATGGAGCATAGCAGCAGCTGTTCTCATGGCAGTGCTTTACACACCACACCCGGAGCCCTCAAGTCAGGGGCAGCTGTGTCGCTGCAGAGGCCCAGATGGCCTCCCGTCCTCAGGAGGGCCCAGCAGCAGGGCAGTTAGAGGCTCAAGCCATGGAGCCACACAGGATTTGAGTCCAGGCCCTGCCTCTGTGTCTTGTCTGTCATCCGGGGAAATGGGGTAGGTAAGCAAGGCACCTGTTATCCCTGGGGGCTGTGAGGATTGAACAAGACAACGTGCAGAACATCCTCAATTGGTAATGGCGTCTATAGAACAGGCAGTCTGGCAGCATCTTTCTAGAGGCTCACGTAGTACAAAACTGTCTTCCTCCCAGGCCCCATGATCGCTGTCACCACTGCGCTTTCCCTGTGCCGACAATGTCGGCCTCAGGCCCCCAGAAGGCCATCGGGGTCTGCGATGCCCAGTCAGCGATGACTACTGGCACGCATGGTATGGCAGGGTGACACAGGATCACTGGTACTGTGTGGGCCAGCTTCAGAAGCATCACTGGTCTGTGGGGTCTCGCTCATCTCCCGGCTTCCTGGCCGGTTGGGGTCCCTGCTGGTTGCTTCCCTGCAGCTGTCCCCAGTGACCATCCCTGCTTGGCCAAGTCTTTGGGCCCACCTCCCCTAGCAACAGTCACTCTTTCCACCTTCTGGAGAAGACCAGATGCCCCCTCCCCCAACGCACAGTAGAGTAAGGGGAATGGGGCTTCCCTTGTAGTGTTAGATTTGGGTTTGAAGCCCAGCTGCCCTGGGGCAGGGGCCTTAACCTCTCCAAGCATTAGTCTCCTTGATGTGGGTATACAGGGTGCTGATGCCAAGAGGCAGGTGTCCCTCATAGTCCCATTTAGGTCCCATGGGGCCTGCCAGGGGCCATGGTTAAGGCATGTGCCTTAAGTTACTCTGCAGGCAAGTATCCTAGATTCCAGCCTTTTGGTCTTGAGCCAACTAAGGAGCTTCCCCTGAAGTCATTTCAGTTGTCTTCAGCCTCAGTTTCTCTAGACTAGTGAAAGGGGACCACATGAGCTGTCGCACCCTTTGGGTCAGCCTGCTCAGTGATGGCTGGGGGCTACATATTGGTAGTCTGTTCTTGCATTCCACCTGGACCGCAGGGGTTCTGGCTCACAAGGGCCATGTCCCATAAGAGACTGTCATGCCTCCAGCCCTGCTGGGCCCCCACCTTCGATGGGGCATCACTAAGTGTCTCTGTTATCAGTGAGCTCACCTACAGGGCTGGCCCCAGCAGGCACACAGGACTCTAAGCCAAGAGCTGTGTTGCACAGCCTGATCAGGGACCCTGGAAGCTCCTGTGGGGAGAGGCTATGTCTTGGGGGTTGGAAGAGTCCAGGCAGATTCTTCTGGAGGAGACAGACTGGCAGCTTGCCTTTGAAGGCAGAGCAGGATTAAAGGTGGATTCTAGACGGACTCTGGTTTTTATGGGACTGGTCCACCTGTCTAATTGTCCTGGCGGTTTGCAAGAGGGTAGGGCTGGATGTCACAAAAGGTTGAGTGACTTTAGGAAAGGGTGTCCCTGTGTGGTCATTTTTTCTGGTAGGATTAGGGTTCCCTCTCACGGTGCCCCTGCGCCTTTCCATTTCCATGTTCTATGTAGCTTTGAGCAAGTGCCTTTGTCAAGTTGGGCTGCCTGAAGGCCACTCCCTCCAGAGGCAGAGACCAGGGCAGCAGCTGAGAGCAGTGGGCTCCACTTCCAGAGGGCATGGTGGGGGGGATGGGCTGGGGAGCACAGCCCCCGTGTGGCCTGTAGCCTTCTTTCCAGATGTTCTTGTCTTAGGCTAGTAGGTAAGTCTGCCCGTTCTGTTTGGTTTCTTCCTATCTCTTCTCAGGCCAATTCTCAAGGTGGAGGGAGGCTGACGGCTGGGCCCAGGGAAGTCAGGGATTTCCCCAGTGCGGTTTCTGAGCTTCCCTAAAACCTCCTCCTGTACAGCACCCTCAAGCAGTGGGGCGATCCTCTGGTGAAGAGCAAATGGGGTCTGGAAGGGGCTCCATGCCTCTCATCTTGGCCAAGGACTTGCCCTAAAATTCGGGCTCTCCCCCGTCTAAGTCGTGTCATCTCAGGGGAGCGAGTTAACCCCTCTCAGCTTCCTTTTTATTTTTTCTTTTAGTGGAATTAATGACAGTGCTCACCCTGTAAGGGTGTTGTGAGATAATGCAGATCAAGGGTTTAGCACAGTATGTGGAACTCAATGAATACCCATAAATGGTAGCTTGAAAAAAAATGAACTGGCCTTGAAGCTCATAAATCTACAGAGTTTAATCAAAGTTCCAAACTACCCATTCCCTATATCCTACCCCTCCAGAGAGGGGGTCTCCCCCTAATGTCACACAGAGCTGAGAGAGTGGGGGTATCCATGAATGTTGTGACCATAGTACCCAAGGACAGTCTCCCTGAGGTCAGGGTCTGGCCTCCGGGGGGCTACAGGGAGAGGGCATAAGGGTGGGATGGCCCTCCACATGCTGGGCCTTGGCTGAGAGAAAGTGACCCCTCTGCTCCTTGCCAACATGTTTGCATTTCTATTATTTTCATTCCAACCCGACTTTTAGGCCGGAGACACTGGATGCCACAAACAAGCTTTTTATTTCCCCTCCTAAAACCCACTGTGATTTACAGGCCGGCTCTGGTGTAATCCTAATCTTTACTCATGAAAGAGAGGGCAGCTATTTACATGGCTCTGTGGGGCAAGGTCTGCCTGACAGATGTGGGGCCGCTGGCATTGCACATGTGCTTGCCTTTGGCATTCTGCCCTCTTAAAAGCTTTCAATGGATTGTTTTTAAAAACTTCTTACTCCATGAAAAATGTAGAGAATTACTTTTATGCTTCAATTAAAAGTTTCCCAATAGCTATATGAAAGAATATGAAATTATTACCTCCAATAAAGGCTCCTGTTGCTTCTTTCTTCGGAAGCACCTTTCATCAGAGCAGATCAAAGTGCATCCGAAGCACTAATTGAGCCTCAGGACCATCTGTGAGGGAGGGCCATCCCCAAAGCTGTGCTCACTGATAAGGGAGGCCACGGACAGAGAGGCTAACTCGTTTAGCGAAGGTCACACAGCAGCACTGTGCCAAAGAATAGACCGTCTACAGGATGTGGAAGAAGCAGGAAGCTGGCTACTTAAACTCTGATTCAGAAGCACTTTGTCAAAAAAAGGTTCGGAATCGACTCTGGCACCCATTACACATCTCCCTAGTTCTGGGGAAATTTCAAGCTAGGGGCGGGGGGGGGGGGTTGCTGACGACCTTACAATGGTGGCTTTTGTCTTTGCCACTGGCTGTGACACCCAACTGACAGAATGGCTTTCAATGGTCCCTCTCCTTTAGTTTTCTTTTAAGAGACCCTTAAATGGTGTTGCAAAGTGATGTTCAACATAGGCTCTTGGCAAAAGAGAACAGGATTTAAAAGCACAGACCGGAAGTGTGGACGGCACCCAAACCAACACGTGTCATCACATACCTCGGGATGTCCCTCACTTTGGCAGTGAAGTGGCACTCAGCGTACAGGGTAGGGAGACTGTGGGCATGCATGAGGGTGGGGCGCTGGCATGAGCTATCACTGTCCCCTGAGGGCCCCTCTTCCCCCCCCACATACTGTGGGAACAGGGCAGCTTGGGCAGACCTCCCGGTGCCACGTGATAGGAAGCCTGCCCAGGGCTAGCTCTGTCACTTGAGGTGTGGAACCCCAGTGGCAGCAGTGTTCAGAGAGGCATCATTACAAAGCCTGCCCAAGATGGCGCTCGCAAACTCTACTCTTTGCTCCTCGTGGGTTCGGAGGGGAAGTGCTTTGAAAAGAGGTGCTTTCTCTAAACATGAGGAAGGGGGTTGAGGATGGTCACCCTGTGCGGCCTGCAGTGTCAAAGGAAGCCAGTATATGGCCGCCACACAGCCCTGCCTGGGCACCGGGAGGGTCCGATGGCAGAGACCCAAGTGGGCGCACAGTCTGGATCGGATGCCCCAGGTGCAGCCACGGCCAATACATAGCCCTGGGTTATGGCCCTCTTGGGCCCAAGATGTCCACAGCTGCAGCCTCTGGTGCCAAATCCAGAGTGTGAGGCATGAGGCACAGACCGGGACAGGGAGGACCCCATGATGTGATGGGAAGTGGGACACCACCCCTGCATCATGGCACGGAGTTCCCAAAGCACTCTCCCTTCTCAGAGCTCTAATTTCTTTTAATGCACACCCAGAATTACTGGGGGCTACTTCAACGCTGGAAGCCAGAGCAGACCCAGCCCTATGTCACTGTCACAGAAGTGTCCATTCATGTCCGCCTTGCACGAGCCAGACAGCAGGACACATGGAGACAGAGCTGGCAGGTTGTGGGGGGGGGGGGGGGCGAGTGAAGGATGCCAGAGATACAAAGGTAAGGGGCAGAGGCATGCTGTGGCTGGGAGGGTGCTCCTGGAACGAAGGTCCTGGCTTTCACACCTCCCCTGTCCTCTCCACTTCCCTCATATCTGAGTCTTCGTGTCCTGCCAGCTTCACTCTCTAAACCGCCATCTCTGATGGTCCCACTACACCCTGAAGTCACTTTCTATGCTGACATCTGCTGTCACAAAGGAAATTTGATACGTTCCTCAGTCTTCCTGTCTCACTCCGTCTCTTCAATTGCCGTTCACCATTGCTTAATGTTTGTATTCTTTCCCCCCCTGTGCTTTGGGTCTTCTCGACTAAAGCAGATGGCTCGAAAACAGCCTTAGCTGACCGTGCACAAGTCAGAGCTCCACGATTATGGGCCTAGTATGCAGCTAAGTATAATGACCTCACAAGCCACGATGTGCCCTTACCTGCCGCTGCCAATGGACGGGAACGCGATGGACTTGAGCTTCTTATCGTCTGCCAGGGCCAGACAGTTCTTCACCGTCTTTTCCAGAAGTTCCTCACACTTGTCTGCACCCCAGACCGGACTGTTACAGTGGATCACAAACTTGGCAGGCAGGCCGTGACCTGCGCTGACAGCAGCTGGAGGAGACAAGACAGGAACAGTGAGTTCTGTCCCTCACACACCCAACACAGTGCCCTCCAGCTGCAGCGCGCCCCCAGGCTCCCCTGTGGCCTGCATCCAGGGAGCGCTGCAGCTGCCTGCCATCTTGTGCTTCTGATGTCCCCCTAGAAACTGCTCACCAGCGAGTCTTCTCGGGAAACACCAGGCCAAGAGCCACCCTTGGAAAGCTGGCATTGAGATGCACCACCACGAAGAATTTTAGCCAAGATTACAGCCAGCCCTCTCTGTACATCCTCCCAGAGGCGGACCCTGAACCACCTAACTTGACTGACTGTGTCAGAATGTTTGCAGCCTCAAATTCGCCTCTGGGGATCTCTAAGCCCCCTTCCTCCTGTGAACTCCTGTACACGTAATTATGATGTGTCTATAAATCTCCCCAGCAGAGTTCAGGATAAACCTATTAGGAAAGCAACTCCATTTAATGAGCCACTAAGCAACATGACTGGCAGCTCTGGTGCCCGCCTCTCCTCCTGAACTGATCTTCGTTTTTGACAGAATTAAATTGTTCTTTCACGCTGGAACTGGTTTCTGTTCCGGGGAGAGCTGCCTTTTCCCCACTACACATCTCTACACCCCACCCAGCTCCCTCCCCAGGCTTTGCCTTCTCATCAGAACTAAAGGCACTGGCTTCGGGTGTGCTATCCCTTAGGAAGTGTTCCAAGTCAGCGCCGGGTCTCCCAGAGCATGTTCTGGGACTCCTGTTCCCAAAGGTGCAATGCACAGGTGGTGGTTCTGGGTACTGGGTTTGCTGAGTGCCTCCTGCGCCATTTCTGTACAGGAACACACTGAGGCCCCACATCGCTGCTATGGTCTGACTGTTGCCTGAGCCCACTTGGGGTGACCATCCTCGTGGGTAGGACTGTCAGGTCTGCTGTGGCACTAGTAGGTACTGGGGATGAGTGATCGGTAGGTAGTGCCTCATGGTGCAGAGAAACAGCTCTGAACTAAGAGGTCTCAGTTTGACTCTTGACTCTGGGCTCAAGTGCTGACCTATAGCAACATGAGATGTGGGGGGTTTACGCACTGGTCTGTCCTCGGGAGAAGTCACTGCTGAACGATGCGTGGGAAAAGACTGGAAAGAAACATCGGTAACTGTGATCATCATCCATTAGTGCAGCCAGGGCTAAGGTTTTACACCACCTTTAAATGTTCTAAAAGTTTTTCTAAAATTGATCTTAATATCAAGGACAAAATGAGTTATTCAAACAGGCAACCATATCCTCAGCCATGCTAAATGTCATGGGTTTGCATCAGCGGTGGCCCACGTGTCACCTGCTGAGTTTGGGGTATGGAAGCACCAGGCTGACCTCTCATCACACCTCCATCTGAGGGCCACCCATGGGAAGCACCTCCAGGGTGGCACAGAGAGGTTCTGGGAAGGGATTGAAGAAAGGTCAGGAGCCCCTGGCTGGGTAGTTAATACTACATCAGTTCTCCCTTGTTCAATATGGGACTTTGGTGGAAATACCTGAAGGACTTGGAAATGTACCCTACCTGATACCACACTCATTGCAAGCAAAAGAAAATGGGCAAGGCAGAGGTCCAAGGCAAAGCGAATGCTACCCTCTTATCCACACCCGGCTCCGTGCCTAGCCCAGGATGACTGGTGAAAGAGGGTCACTGGTGTACCCTCTGAAAGAGGGCTTGTGTAGAAGTCACACAGCAACTGTTGACACCTGTATTCAATTAAGAGTCATTTTTAAAGCAGCAGTAGGATTTGCAAGACAGCTTGGACACTGGGGACCATCCAGTATGAAGAGGAACCAGAGCCCAAAGGAAGGGAATGGCTTGTCCTCACATCACTGGTGGAGTGAACCGGGCCTCACCCCACGGTTTGGACCCCTAGGTCCTCAGGAGGCCCTCTGTCCTTCCCCTCCTACCGACCACCTCCAATTCCAAAATCCAGGCCAGTAGCAGGAAGAAGGCTCTGCCACTAGCTCTTAGCAATCATTCTCCACACATCCGGTTCCAAGTTATTTTCTTACCCTTGGTATCAGGAAAGGTGTGACTGGCAAATGAAAAATGTCTATTTCTATTTTGCCCATTAAACACACAGATGGCTGAATGAAAATGATTAATTTGCACTTCTCGCCAGCACTTTTGCAGATGGCTCAGTATCACTGCCTACAATTCTCAGCTCTCAGCTTTGCCAAACTTGAATGCTGTAATTCCTTAAAATCAGAGTCTAGACACCAAACATTTAAAAGCTATTTTGAGCAATAAAGAAAAAAACTGGAAAGGTAGTTTTCACAACCCTTACACTCCCCCTGACAATTTGCATGTGTTTTAAGTCCAAATTTGTAAGGCTAACCGGCTCGGAGACAGGTTTGCGTGGACAAGCACTCCTGAGTTCCAAGATGCCTCATAATCAGGCTTTCCTAATGCTGCACGGGCCACGCCCAAATAACCAAGGCGCTGCCCCAGCTCACCTCCAGCTACTTCCAAGGGCCCATTCTTTTTTCGGAGTTCCAGAACAGCTTCCACAAACTCCTTGCCACCTTTCTTCTCCAGCGTGTTTCCTAGACAAGGACAGGGTGAGGTCAGACTGTCATTCTTGCATCTCAGGGCACACACAGACACTTAGCATGTCAGGTGATTACATACTTCAAATGATCTGACCAGCTAAATTTCCATACAGCTGCAAAACAGGAAACTAAGACTTGGTTAAGTCATGAAAGTGAAATTTAGAAAAGATTCACCACTCGGCCAATTACCACTGAGCTGGCTTTGCTGTCCGACATTTGGGGGTGACTCAGGGTAATCCTGGATATGCCAGAGATACGAGGGACATGGGACACGCCTGTTCCCTGCAAGCGTGCCTGTCCTGCATTTCTCGCCATGAGAAATCAGATGGCGTTGGCTTCTGAGGCTCATGCCCCCCGCCCCTAGATTTTCTTCTGAGGAGAACCCCCAAATATGAAGGCTTTAGGGGAAGCATACCAAGTTCCCATCAGGGAGCCAGCTCTCCCCTTGGCAGTGTGCCCAGAAGAAAGCATTCAGATTTGGCCACCTCTGGACCACCGTTCTGACCATACTTCTTTCCTATTTTGCAGCTCTGGTGTCAAAGGTGAATACAAAAAAAACAAAAAAAAAAAAAAAAAAGGAAAGGAAAAAAAAAAGATAAAAAAAAAAGAAAAAAATGGCCTCAGACACTATTTCCTTCATCACACTAATGACTCAGAATCACTTTAGGTAAAGGAAGGCAACATCAGAAGCAGAGCTTAAAGGGGAGCTTGTACTACATGAAAGTTTGTAAAAGAAGATGACTGTTCACCAGATTTTCAAGGTTAAACCCAGCGGAGGTAGGCAGCACCTTTTCTGGAATTCGGGTTCTTGCTAAGTACCCAATTCCTGCCAGGCAAACCGGGTTCCCACACAAGGTTACCAACACCTGTGAGGCCTGTTGGTTAAATGCCTCGTGTGGCACAACAGGCGGCACTGAAAACGTGTGACAACATCGTCCTTTAAAGTTTGGCCAGAATGGGGTCTCTCTTCCTTAAGCTCTGATTCATCAGTTTTGCACATTTTAAAGTACTTTTCCTCACAAGAGGATAAAATACTCCCCTTAAGATTCACCATTTGTCTTGGAAAATTCGGAGATGCACTCGGCACACTGTAGTAGGTGTCAGTCAGGGCGCATCAGAGTGCACCAGCCCAAATTCTCTTTGGATTCACCCTGTCGGGACTAGGTCTTTTTCTCTTAGAAAAACCTGCCTCACTGGCGTGCTTGTTCTGCAGGAGTGAACTAACCCCAAGAAGTATCTGGAAGGAAGAGCACATCGTCTGGGCACTGTCACAAAAGAGACGGCACCGGGGCTGATGGCAGGCACTGGCCCGCACGCCGGCCCACTGCAGGAAGTCTGGGGTTGTGTGCATGAACGTGACCGGCAGGCCGGCACCCCCAGGGAGCTCTAGGATGGCGAAGAGCAGGCCCTGCTTTTAAAGAGCAATTAGCACGGGATGCTTGGGGTAGGATCCAGCATCCCTTATTAGCCCAGACTGCCCTCACGCCTCCGCCTGTCTTGGAAAGCAGTCACAGACACTTAAAATAGCAGAGGTGTCAGGAGGGAAAACACATCCACTCCAGAGACTTCTAACTGCTGTGACAGCTGCTGTCTGTTTCTGACAAAGACCAGCGTCACAAACGGTGGCCGGACAGGCATGAGGGAGCAGGGTCAGGCCTCACAGCCACCTCCACCCGGCAGGAAGGGGAGACTCTGAGGATACAACCCAGAGGAGTGAGGCCCAATTACGGGTTCACTCAAAATATCACGCAGCCGAGAAAAACGCCTCTGATTTCTGAATCTGCTGGGTCCCAAACACTGCTGCCCGCCACACCTGGTCGGGCCTTCCCTCCTGACCCATTCTCAAGTTTGCAGGAGGGAAACAAATATGCTCTAGTTGCAACTATTTTAGGTGTGCATCCTGTACCCCCATATGCTCTTCGGGGAGAACTGAGAAATTTGGGAGGCAAAATAAGATCAGCACTGGAGGAATACTACCAGCTCCTCTCTAAAGCAAAAACGATTAAGAAAATGGGCTTATTTGGAATTAAAGGTGTTTGATCTTAGGAAGAGTGTTTACTTTAAAATTTTTTTACTTATAATCAAATCTCGCTTTAATTAGAAGTGAAATTTGCAAGTTAAAATACACTCAATGCATTTCCCAAACTTAAAAATTGAACCCTAGGTTGCAGGCAATCACCCGGTCAGGACTGGACTCCTACACACACATATGTACGCACATGTTCATGTAGACACACGTGTACTTTGTAACAAGAAACAGGCCCAGTTCGACTGTATTGTCAACACTAGTAATGTAAGACTCTTGTTTTTTAGGCTTCACTTCAGGGTTAATCATAAAGCAATTGGCTTCTTTGCCCCCAAGCATAAACACGTGTTACTCCCATGAGAACAAGAACATTATTTCATGCTTAGAAAGCAGGCATAAGTATTGGTGTTCAAAACAGCCTAAGCGAAAATTTAGGCTTGGGCATATGTCAGGCTAAGCCTGTGGTCTATTTCACTGTTAGAAAGAACTGTGATGGGTAAGAGTTAATCACGGGGCTAAGCATTCCTGCACTGGCATTCCTTCTTCCAGCAGTCTTGGGTCTCAGGAATTCACACCCAATGGGAGAAATAGAGTGATCGTGTCCTAGCTTCCTCTTTTCCCCTCTCACACATCAAAGTGGGAGCTGGAACCAATTGAGGCCATGCATGAATCTGGTTTGTCATTGTTTTGGCATTGTAAAAGATAGGTGGGTTCAGTACTAGTCTGGACTGGTTCACTGAGAAAAGGCACTGAGGTGGGCTTTGGAAGACCTGGGTTCTGGCACAGTCATTTAGGGTTCCGGCCAGCCAGTGAAGCCATCCGAACCTGTGGAGGTTCTTTTCCAGCCGTGACAGTGTCCGTGAGTGATGGGCCCCCTGACCTCGGGCAAGCTCATGGACCCAGGGTACTTAGAAGTCACTGAGGCTCAGCATGCCTCCCCTGTGCACCTCAGTGGGGGGAGGGCAAGCAC